CCCCCCCCCCCCCCCCCCCCCCCCCACCTTGGCGTTCGATTGGCTCTGCTGGCGGCGTCCCGCGGATTACGACTGCCTCTGAACTACAGGCTGTCACGCTGCCCGGATTTATTAATGGTTTTAAGACTAATACAGCCAAAAAGGCCTCTTCTGGTGCATTACCCCATGAAGGATTTGCATGGAAGAGGGCCCACAATTATCTGTGTTCTTTATTATTCTGGAAACCACTTTCAGCCTCTGTATTCACGCAGCCTCTTTTTCTCGTAGCATCCGTGAAATGTGCTGATTGACGCAGGGCCATGATTAGTGCTCAAGTTTGTGGGTTAAACCATTATTGAACGACATGGGGGTCTGTAGGTTTTACCAAGTGTGATTAAATGCAAATAAAACGGTTCTGTTCCATAACTCGCTATGTGTCTTAATCCTACTTAGTGGAATTTCGCAAGTTCCTCAGTGTCACACTTATGGCAGTGTCGTATACTCGTACAGTTGCATGAGTCGCGAGACTCATTTGCATGTGCCGCCGACCAATAAAACTCTTGCAAGTATTTCACGAAAAATCCTCTGAGACCAACAAATGGTGAAATGACAAAGGCGATGAGGTACACAACTTAGGATGCAGGCTGTTCCCATATATAGTCAAAGCAGAGTAGAAAAGTACTGAACTATATTTGCCAAATAAAGGAAATTCAGCAAAATAAATAATACACCTTTCGGGGCTTGTTCTAACTCAACATACTGCATCCGTCTTGAAGCGACAGGAGGTCTTTTATAGAGTCTCATGCTTTATACACAAAGGCGTACCAAACAAAGTGTGTATATACTGCCAAAAGTGCAGGTGAATGATGCTTACATTCAGAAAGAAGCCTACAAATTTTTTTTTGTCTGCTCAAGCCTTTTTGACAGAGAAATTGAGAGCTCAAGAGTCATTTTTGTCCTTGTCAGAAACACTAGCAATGCCTGAAGGCACACGTGGGGTCATTATGCTCCCTGGATGAGACTTGGCGGAAAAAAACAGCTCTTTCAGAGCTTGGAGGCCATCATCCTTCCTATGTTGAAAATTCCTGTTTATGTTTGTTATTTTCTCCTATAACTGTTCTGCGATCGGCAGTTTAAAAACTGCAGCAAAGGCAGACATCGTTGTTCTACTACAGTATCTACTATCCATAGATGTTTACAGATTATATATCTCTTTCTAAATAAAAGCAGGTGTCTTGGATAAGATTTGAATAACCCTTTGATATTTGTGATATGTTTCATGATGACATGAAAGGTGTCAACGTAGAGGTTAAGCTACTTCTGTTGTCATTGTAACTTCATGAAATGTGAGCACTTTGTACAGTAATTACATTCATTGCCAACACTCCTGGAACGAATGACACTAAACTGTTTGCTGGATTTTGCTGTTCTTTCTGCCAGAGTTAGGCGCTGTCTTGGTCTTTGGTTGCTTTCATTGCTTCTTGGCCATTGATGTCATTAACTGTTTTTCTTGTGTCTTCACAGCTGAGCTTTGGTGGCATGCCGTCCTCCGGAAAACCGAGCACGGGGAGCAGGAAAAACTTCCGGGGCTGCATGGAGAGCATCAGCTACAATGGCGAAAACATCACTGACTTGGCAAGAAGGAAGAAGCTAGACACTTCGAGTTTTGTGAGATACCTTCCTTAATTCAACCTTTAGCCGTTAGCTACTAGCTTCCTTATCCAGCCATTAGATACTGTGTTTGGGTTCAAGTTTGCCAAAATGCACTAAATCGAAACTTCAGGCTAGAGTTTAGATTCTCTGCCCGAGCCCGAGCCCAGACCCGACCCGACCCGACCCGTGGGCCGGGTCTTGCTGCCACTCCCCTTAATGTGACGCGGAATAAGAAACTATCCAATAACTGCTGTCAGGGGGCGGGGCGTCTTGGTGGCGTAACTTACCCCCC